AGTTTTTGTTTGCTACATGGATCATTTTAGTTCAGCTGGGTGTCTTTCCTTTGGTTATATTTCTTTAAGAGTTCAAAATGTGTTAATTACATAAATAAAATGCAATTCTCTCTGTAGCACTTCATGGATTTAAGCAACACACCTTAGTTGTTCACACAAAGCATAAAGGTAAAAAAAAAACCCAAAAAAACCCAAACAATATATACAGTGTTATCTTCATTTTAGATGTCAAAAAGTATTTGCGGCTCCCAGTGATTTCTTTTGCGTGGAAATCGCGTCCAAATGGCTCTTTGGGTGTTAAAGGTTGCTGACCCCTGGTCTAGATGAACCTTTGTGTTCCTGTGTAGTTTATACATTAAAAGAGTCCATTTTGCTCAAATCCTCCATTGAACGGACAGCTTAGACTGTGGTACCCAAGGTTTATTGTTCAATTTATTAAAAACATACATCCCACCAATATAAAATACAAAGAGTGAACATACAGTATAAACCGGATTACATTTGAGAAGAATGAAACAAAAAAATCTGAAGGCCCCAAGGGTATGCAACTGAAAAGTTTCCTACCAGAAAAAGTTCTGTACTGTGACAATGGTGATTAATAATAAAAATATTCTAACATGTAACATCACAATCAAAAAGCTCTAAATAAATAACATATCAAAGCTTTTTCAGCTATGATTGAGACTAAGGGAAGCCTTTTCTGATGTATCACTGTAGCGCTAATTGTACTTCTATCAAAGCAAAAATCCCCCAGCAGCATGGTGTTGGACTTCACTCGCTTGTTTGTCTGTATACCTAAATATCTAGTTACTTTAACCAAGTAAAAGCAGCTGGCCTTGTGATAGTTGAATGTTCAGATGCACGCTAATCATAGTGAGATGTGGAGCCCTGCGTCAGGCTAGCAACCTGTCCAGGTGTACCCTGCCTCTCGCCCTATGGTAGCTGAGATAGGCTACAGCTAGCATAGTACGATTGATTGATTGATTGATTGAGAAAATTAAGTGATTTCAATATGCCTGACGCTTGCAGAGAGGAAAAAAAAAAAAAATCAGAGTAATTACATAACAAAGGGACGGCTATTAGGGAGTACTGACACTAATGGACAGTATTTTCATCCTTGAGAGAAGACAAGGCTTTTGTTGTTGTATGGAGATAAGGTAAATTCTTAGCAAGCACATAATTGTTCAACTTCTGTTTAATTTTTTCTCTTTAATTTACTATTGAAATTAAATCAAAGTGTAAAACCTAAACTGTAATATCTGTGCTTTCTGACATCTGAGCAGTGCAGATATTTAGACTGTTTCTTGCACGTTGTGACTGTTTGGCTGCATGCAGTCTGGTACTCCCTGTAGTTAAAGAGTACTATTAAGTGCCACATAAATTATAATAGATTGTGGATACACCTCCTGCACATAATATGCTGCTCACGCTGCACATAATGACCACAGTCAATGATTCAATTTAACAGAGGCCAGCCTTCCAGTATTATCATCAGTCATAAACAAGATACATCAGATATGTTTAAACTATATAATGAAAATAAGTATGCGAAACAAAATTTTGCATTTTTAAGTTATTAACTGTTAACATAAGGCAGTATTCAATATATAAATATGCATGAATGTGCATACTCTATTACACACTTTTGCATCACTATAAAATCTGGCAAAGCTAAAATTATAATCTACGTATAAACTGAGAATATGAAAAGGGGTTTTAAGGTGTAAGGAAGTGACAGTAAAATTGTAAGGTACTCTATGACTCAGTGTCCTCCTCCTCTTCATAACAGCGGTTCTTCTTGATTATATCCTCTGCACTCAGATCCTCTGCATCACTTCCTTCTTTGTCCTCTTCCCAGAAGCCCACATCCTGGGAGGTGCGGTTCTGGTTTGGCTTTGATGGTGGAGAAAGGTTGATTGGCATCTCAGGAGATAAGCTTCTCAAAGAGCCCTCATCCCCAGCCGCCTTGTCTCCTTTTGTATTTATTTTTACTCCCTCATCTCTTTCTTTCTTTTTCTCAACCTGACTTGCCACATCCCCCTCAGAGATGGTCTCTTTATCTTCACTTTGCATCTGAGACATCTTCTCTTTCTTTTTCTGCTTTTTCTCCTGCTGGACTTCTGGCTTATTTTCCTTGGTTGATTCTTCAGAAGATGTTTTTTCCTCAAAAGATGCTCTCCAATCCTGCAGAGATTTGAGATTACGACGAGGCTCGCGAGGACCTGTGGGGTTTGTGGACTTGGGTTTGGCTGCTATTGTAAAAGGCCGAATCCGCTCCTTAAGAGAAGTGCTCCTC